CACGCATAGATAGAAAAAGTAGCATTGGAGTACCGTTGTCGTCGAGCGAATATGAGCAGAAAGTTTCGAGCACAGGGAAGGTAGCTTCGATTTACTCACAAAAAACATTTACACCCGATAAAAAAGGCTACTGGCCGACTTTCCCGACTTCGATTATTTTTTAGCTTTGTGCTGTGAGTGAATCTGGAGAAAAAAGGAAGATGAGGCTGTGCTTAGACCTCGCGCGAAGAACAAAAGGGGTAGACCAGCTATATGCGCTAAAACTTCCACAATTCGGGCGAGCACTGCAGTACAAACCTGTTAACTTTGAAAGACACAAAGATTAGAAAAGGAGACGACGATGTCTGCAATTCTTACTCGTGGTGCTCTTTTACACAAAGATGCCTGTTTGTACGTGATGTTTTCGAGTCAGGGACAGGGAGTTTGTCAGCCCGAACCCCACAGAAAGCCTTCTAGAACGGTGGCTGGCATGGCGCCGCCCTCTGTGGCCAACAAGCAAAGCACAGTTCCCTCAGCCACAAGAGTAAAAACGCGACGATGAGTGCAAAATCGAAAAATAAAAAAGGCATAAAAATGCGGTTGTGCAGGGCATAGAGATCAGAAGAATTTCAGGCGCCGTACGTACGGCGTCTTGGAGGCTTCGCTGCCTGTGAGAACGTGATGACGCGCCCCTGAGCCCGGAGGTCGTCCGCGGGGCCGCAAGACGTGTTAGACGCAAGAATGCCGCAAAAACTGGCGCGCACACGCACATCCGAACAATTTTTGAGCTGATGCGTTGCATGAAAGGATGTCAGGTGCGCGGCTGACTGCGGTCATTGCCGTGAAGTGGATGGCACAGGGGCCCACCCCGGACGCCCCTCCATCGCCCGCTTTCCTCGCATCGCTCACGAGACTTGCGACTTTCCAGTCCTACCTCCCACCTTTCTCGATTTCAACATTCTCTGTACTACTCATCAACAGGGATGTTATCCTCCTCACAGATCAGCTCGCCATTTTCAACGGTGTCTGTGTTTGTAGGGGCCCTGTTGATACGCTTGGGGATGCTGGCAGTAGGGGCGTGGATCGACAGAGCTTCAAGCACAGTGAAGTACACAGATATCGATTATTTCGTCTTCAGTGATGCAGCACGTTTTTTAAGTGATGGTGGATCTCCATACGAGCGTGATACTTATCGCTATACACCTTTTTTGGCCTACTTGCTGCTGCCTAACCTGTGGTTACACCCGGCGTGGGGGAAGGTCTTGTTTGTCATCTTTGACTTGCTGGTGGGGTTCCTGATAATGAAAATTTCTTCCCAGTATAAAGTGGCAAACAACACACCGCTGAAGATCCAACCAATGAACGGCTTTTCGTCGTTTTTTGCTGCGTCTCCTCCAGTATTATATGCGTCATTTTGGCTCTATAATCCCCTAGTCATTAATTGCTCAACACGGGGCAGTGCAGACTCCTTAGTCAGCGCATTGGTTCTTGCGACGGTCTTGCTAGTGCAGCAAAATCGACCTATCCTCGCAGCAGCCTTTCATGGGGCAGCAGTCCATTTCAAGGTGTACCCAATCATATTCTCCTTCTCTTACCTGGCAGCACTTCCTGAAAGCGACACGGATGGCGAGGGACAGGACCTCACTCCCATTGGCTCCTGGCGCAGCGTCTGGCCATTCTCGACAAGAAAGCGTCTTCTCTTCTCTGTTGTCAGCGCTTTGACGTTCCTGGGCCTGACTCTGGCCGCTTACGCCCTGTCAGGTCACCCCTACCTCTCCCAGGGCCTCCTTTACCACCTGACCAGGACAGACAATCGCCATAACTTCTCTCCCTGGTTCTACGCCATCTACTTGGACTTTCAAGATGAGGAGCGTCGGCGGTTGTTGGGTCTGGCCGCCTTCCTCCCCCAGCTCCTTCTCCTGGCCTCCACCTCGCTCACCCTCGGCCCGCGGGACCTGCCTTTCTGTGTGGCCGTTCAAACCATGGCTTTCGTGGCCTTCAACAAAGTCTGCACCGCCCAGTATTTTGCTTGGTACTTCTCCGTCCTCCCCGCTGCAGGGCCCTCCCTCGCGTCCCTCCCTTCCTCCCTCCCGCTCTTCCTCGGCGTGGCCTGGCTCCTGGCACTGGGCGCCTGGCTGGCATGCGCCTACCTACTCGAGTTTCAGGGTCGCAACACTTTTTTTGCGACCTGGATATCGTCCCTTGTCTTTTTGTGCGTTAACGTGGGGCTGCTTGCCTGGCTCTTAGAGGCGTGGGGTCGGGGAGAGGGAGGAATTATGCCCGCGGCGTTGTCGAGGGAGGACGGGATAACCCGGGCGAGGGAGGGTGGAGGAGGCTTGCGACCAAGAAGGAAGAGAGAGAGGATTCCGGTTAGTAGCGAGCGAAGATGATCGTAAAAGTACTTTTCAAACGATCCAGACAACCACGGGATGTGAATGCGATGCTGGGGGTACTTTACTCAAGCGCTAAGAGTTGTGCCCCGCGACCCTCCCCGCTGGCCCCCCCTCCCTTTCTTCGCCTCCTCTCTCATCAGTGTTCCCCGCCTCCTCTCTCACTTCCTTCACTCCCACCACTTGCTGGTGGCGCTCTCCCACCAGCCGCCCTCCCTCTTGCTGCTCCGTCGCTTCCTGCCGCTGTCGTCTTGCAGCCAAGGCAGCTCTTCGCTCATTTACTGCCTGATTATGAAGCGCAAGCTCGTCACGTTTGAGACCACCTTTGAGGACGGCCACGGGCGAGAAGGGGATGGAGGTCTGGGGAGGGTATATCAGGGAAGGACCGAAGTTGCCTCGTACTCGACCGGCAAGGTAGAGGGAGACGGCGGGGTAGTACCGGGCTGTAAGAGAAACAGCAGGGGAACTGAGTGTTTAATTCACAGGAGAACAAAGAGTTCACAACGCCGAGACCTACGAAGGGAGATGCCGAGATCCCGACCCCCACTGAAGGCTTCTCTGACGCGGTGG